TAGAAGAGTGCTTGGTGCGTAATTAGCACTGAATGTACATTTGTTGAATGATGAAGGCTTTATTGATTTTTTTTCCCTCTAGGTCCAGTAGCATTATTAATTTGTATGGCTCTATTAAGGATTATTTCACTCATTCATTTATTTATTCAAGGGACATTTTTGTCCTTTACTACATGCTAATCCCTCAATGCTACTGATAGAGAGTACACCAGAGAGAAGTGATCTTACAGGGCTTACAATCTGAATTATGCCAAGAAGAGAAATGCAGTTGACTCTTTCCTAGGTTAAGTTCCAAACTAAATGGACGAGCAAGTAAGATATGAACTCACCTATTTGTTTTGTTTTTTCTTTCTGGAAACTTTCTTGAGAAACTTTCCCAGAACAGGGCTAAGAGTGATGGCAAAATGGTGTAGAAGACTAGGCAGCCCCCAGGTGCTGAAGACTGCCAAGCCTACTTCTCAGGTGGAGGAGCGGGTTGGGTTTGTAAACTCCTTTCCCAGGCAGTATCACAGCAATTGAGAGTCCTTGGACACTGAAGCCAGACATTTTGGGCTTAGGTCCATTCCAGTGATGTGACCTTTTGACCTTGGTCAAGGTCCTTAATCTCTGTTCCTCAGTTTCCTCTCTGTAAAATAGGGATAGCTATAGTACCCACCTTAGCTTACAGCATTGTGGAGGTTAAATGAGTTATCACATTTGAGACTCCGAACAGTGCTTGAGGGTTAGATAGATGTTTGCTGCTATTAATTTTATTACTTATTATTAAGCATTTTTATCTCATGATAATGTAAAAAGTAAAAGGAAAGGCAATTTTGCATCGTTTTCATGGAAAAACTAAGACTTAGAGATTTGTCTTTTCAGAGTCACAAGGTGGGGAAATAGAGCTCTTGGGCCCAGAATTTACTTAGATTTCAAGAGCGTTTCTTAGTTCTGGGTGGGACTTGAATCTGGGTGGGACAAATCACTAGAGAGAGCATCTTTTTAAACAAATACACTATTCTAATCAAGTTTCCTTTTTCCTTTAGATAAAACGTTTACCCTTTTAAGAATATTTTACTGAAAAAAAAGAGGACAAAAAAAATTATCCTAGAGAGATGGTGCCACTGTCAGAGCTCATAAGGCCAAGTGCCCATTCTGTTTTCAGGGAGTATCTGAACATCATGCCTTCTGTCACTCTTGCCTCCTCATTACTCAAGCAGGAGAGATTGTATCACTCCAACCCAGAATCTAGGCTCAGCCATTCTCCAGATACTTCTACAGGATTCTGTAAGATATCAGCTGAATGGCAATTCTGTTTGAGCCTTAAAGGGATGTTGGACTAGGAATCAGAAGACCTTGTTTTTGTGAACATCTCAACCATCTGTGAGCTGAGCGATAATTGGGAGAGTTCCTTGACCTTTCTGAGCCTTTGTTTCCTCATCTTTACCACAGGGAACAGTCTCTTTCTCAGATTACCACAGGGTCAGTATTGTGGAAATTGTACAGTAAGCAGTAAGGAATCGTCAGTGAAAGATAAGCATTCTGTGACCCATGGAGAAGAATAGAAACATCCACTTTACTCTTTGGAGCTATAGACTTTGTTCTGACCTCCTCTGCCCAGCTGGAGTCACCAGTTAACATATATGATTCATTTCATTAGGGTGGCCCATCTCTTTTGCTCCCCATTATTGCAGAGAGAGAGAAGGTGGAGCTATTTGATGAAAGGGCTAGGCATCTCAATATCAGGAAGGGGCTAGATTTTGGATCCTCTGAGAAAATGTTGCTATCCAGGCAATATGATACCTGTCTTGAAATCACTGAGTGGGAAAGGACTCTGGCTGGTATCAGTGAGCTCAGTGCTGCCTCTAGGTCCTCTAGGTTGTTTAGATCCTCAGCACTCAGGACAAATGACAATGCCCAGGCTCCATCAGCAGAGAGCTCACTAACTTGTTAATTATCCATTTTCCACTATTTGGCTTGTATGTTTATATGTTTGCGATGGCCAGTATTGATGGGGAACACACATCCCATGCATCCTGTAATTTTCCACTGTCCCCAGTGTGTGTAAATTTAATAGAAAATCATTAAAAAAGCAAAGTTGTGCCTGCAGCTTTTCTGCGCTCATAAATGTGGTCATGAGGTCCAGGGTGCAATTGGGAGCCTGCAAGTGTCTCTGGAAAGCTAAGGTGTGTCCGCATCTTCTTGCTGACAGTAGTCAGTTCTCATGGCTGCAGGTAGAATTCAAAAGATCCAGGGGAGTGATATCCACTGACATGTAGTAAACAAATTACTGGAAAAGGGGCTTAGACCTGGTGTGCTATACTCCTGCTCTACTGGAGATGCCTGCCGGGCTCAAGCTGAATACACATCTTGCTCATATTACATCTTGTCCAAGTAAGATTTTCCATTACCACAACATAGGAGACATTGAGGGCACGGTGATTGCTAAAACCCTACAAGACTGGTTGTCTATGCTTAGTGCTGCCAGGGTCAGAAAGTCATCAGCTTATTGCATATAACTGTTGAATTCTTTCTTCAGCTAGCATTCAGTGCAGTCTGATTATGTGCAAGGCATGGCCATACCTTTTCTCCCATACATCCACTTGATAATCATACCCTGTGGCTCCTGCTGTAGACATTTCTCTTGAAAGCATTCTTTCCTCTCTATTCCTCTTGCCACTTATGTTAATTTAGTTCCTTATCAACTCTCATCTGAGCCATGACAGTAGCCTCCTTTGGTATTCCTGCCTCTGGTCCTTCCCCCAACTTCATGGTCTGTACTTGTAGCATTACTTTTTGAAAATAAATCTGTCCATGCAACTTCCCTGTCTTAGAATTCTTGTCTTTCCTTCATGAGGCATTTAAGGCCATTTAAATCAAACACAAACTGCATTTCAAACTCTACCTTCTCCTTTTTCCCATCATGAGCTCTTTGTTACAGAATTTCCTCCAAAAATGCTATCTTATTCACCTCTCTGTGGCTTTGCACATACCATTCTTTCTGCCTAAAAAGTTCTAATTCCTGTTCACCACTTAATACGCAGCATAATAAATGTTGCCTCATCCCTGAAGCCTTTTAGCCTCCAGACTCACCATTGCCATTTTTTACATGCAGTATGCTAAATGTTTTAATCATTGGTGTGCGGTATCTTTCACATGAGATTACAAACTTCTTGAGGGCAGGTACTGTGTTTTGTTCGTCTTTTACCTCCATCATGTACCACGATGCCTAGAATATGGTAGACGCTCAATACGTGCTTATTAAACATGTGCAAGGCAATGTAGAATTCTGCACCCAGACAGTGTATGGTTCCAGCAAGGAGCATAAATTACTTCATGATATCACTACTCAGAATGGGATAAGTATCATAAAAGAAGCTTTAATATATATACATGGGTAAGTCATAGATTGAAATATTTGTGGGAGAAGAACCATTTGTAATTGGAATTTTATTTGGTAAAATATACATAGTATTTATCATTTTAATCATTTATAAGTGTACAGTTTGGTGGCATTTAATACATTCCAATGTTCTGAAACCATCACTACTATCCCCAAAACTTTTTCATCATCCCTAACAAAAACCTCTGTACACATTAAATAACTCCCCCATTTCCACTCCCCCAGCTGCTGGTAGCCTCTGTTCTACTTTCTGTCTATAAATTTGCCTATCCTAGGTACCTCATATAAGTAGAATCACAATATTTGTCCTTCTATATCTGACTTATTTTACTAAGTAATATTTTCAAGGTCCATCTATGCTGTAGCATATGTCAAAAATTCATGACTAGGTAATGTTCCATTGTATATATATATACCATATTTTGTTTATTCATTTATCTCTTGATGAACACTCAGGTTGTTTCTACCTTTTGGCTGTTGTAAATGATGCTGTTATGAACATTGATGTACAAACATCTGTTTCAGTCTCAGCTTTCAGTTCTTTTGGATATATATTTAGGAGTGGAATTACTGGATCAGAGAGTAGCTCCGTGTTTAACCTTTTGAGAAGTCACCAAACTGTTTTCCACAGCAGTTATACCATTTTACATTCTCACCAGCAATGCATGATGGTTCCAGTTTTTCTACATCCTCGCCAATGCTTATTTATCTTTAAAAAAAAAATTATAACCATTCTAGTAGATATGAATGGCATTATCTTTTGCTTAGACTTCAGTTGTTTTGCTAATTGATTCTACCTTGATTATTGGCCATTAGTGACCACTAATAAACTGTTTTCACTTTCCAAATCTTGTGTTAAACAACAGAAAACCGAAGCCTGACCAAAACTTTCATGCACTGGCACTTGTTAGCAGGACATAAGCCCTTTCTTAAACTTGGAATTATGAGCAGAATGGCATTTCTTAGGAAATTTCCTAATTATTCTTTCTTAGCATTTGTTATAAGGCAAGGATCAAAGCTCTGTTTAATTGTCTAACCTGTTCACTGCAGAGAGTAAGTTGGCTATTATCTTGTTAGACCAGTGACAGAGAAAAACTCAGTTGTCCACTTCGTATTTTCTTATCTTTGCAGTCTCCAAGTCCTTTCTCTGTTCAATCAGAAGTTCCCCTTTTTACTTCAAACTGATGTATAAGTCTTTTAAATCTAGAACTCTAGCAAGATGGTAGTAATAAAACTAGAGGTAGTCTTGAAACTTATTTCATGGAAGAGATTGATTTTAGAGGGGTGTGGGGTTTCAGAGGCCATGTGAGGACAGACTAAAAGGACAGGAGTTGGGCCCTCTCAGAGTAGAGTTGTGTTTGAAAACCATAAAAACAGCAGCAGCATGGACACATACTTGCTCAACCCCTCCCCAAATCCTTGTACTCAGGGCACTTTCTTGAAATTTGTAAAAGTACATGGGCATCAATAATACGAGAGGTAATTACGACAAGAAATATTATTGAAATATTGATTCCTTATACGGTCATATGCCATCTTTGCCCTCAAAGAGTTCACAGTCTAATGCAGTGGGGGAGTGGTACACAGCTTATAAACAGGTTATTAAAATAGTACAGTAGTCTACGGTCATGCCATCCTGAACACTCCCGATCCCATCTGATCTTGGAAGCTAAGCAGGGTTGGGCCTGGTTAGTATTTGGATGGGAGACCACCTAAGAATACCAGGTGCTGTAGAAGTAAAAAACATAAATAAATAAAATAAAATAGTACAGTAAGTTTTCCTGGTAGAAATATTAAAAACTAGAGAAGGAGAAAGCAACAAGCTTTGGAGGACTTGAAAGGCTTCACAGAAAATAAGGTGATGACTTTTCTATAAAATGAGGATAATAACACCCCTTTTTTTAGGGTTATTGTGAAGATTGAAGAGATAACACATATAAAGGTTATAATACAATTGCTGGCACATGGTAGGTATTCAACAAATGTTAGCTCATGTTATTATGTTATTATGGAGAGGTTTTATGAAATTAATGAATGATAGTATATCCATTGATTGTAAGCAACAGAGACTGACTTCTGCTAATTTAAGCAAACAGGGGAATGTATTGGAGGGTAACAAAGCTCACAGAATGGAAAGGATAGTTTATCAGTAGGCCTCAGGAAGGAAGCTTAGGGATCCTAGTTTTAGGAACAGGAACTTAGTACAGTCTCTTTGAGATAATCCAACTTCAGCTGCCTTTTATCTTTGGAAAGCTCTACTCGGAGGTGAGAGTCTGATTAGATTAGTTTGGACTCTGTGCCCACCTCTGTGATGAGGAGACAAGGTTCTAGGATCAGCAGCCTGTCAACTCATATGGAGTTGGGGAGTAGGTCCCAGTCCTAAGGAAGGGATGCAGAGACAATGAGTGATATTCACCTCAGTATCAGAGTACCTCTAAGATCTACTGATCCCTTGAGGTTGATGATGGATGCAACCAGGGCAACCCATGGAACAGCCTTTGGGTATTTTTATTGGCTGTAGAATCTTGAATGCCCTGGCTTGTGATCAGTGTCAACACAATGTGACCATACCTATCTGACATCCTTCCTTGAAATTTCTCTGGTTTCTGTATTCTTAAGTATGGTAGCTAAAACAAAGACTCTTATAATAATAAAGACCAAAATTTGACCTTTGTCTGTGGTGTTTCTTTTAACATGTTCAGTTATGGCTGCCTTTTCACATTTCTCATATATAAGCTCATGATCAGGGAGACTTGCTCTGAGACTTTAGTATGTCTACCTAGTCAAATCCTTTTTCATCCTATTTATTTATTTTGGTCTAGACATACTACTGTGCATTTGATCCTGTTGAATCGCATCTTATTTCTAGGATAATTTTTCAACAATTCAGATTTTTGCATCTTGTTTTCTAACATACTAAAATTAACAATTTTAGCTTTTTGCTTGTCTGACTCTCCATTTCTGATGGTCACATCAAAAATGATGGTCATCAGAAGCAGAAAGTTGTGACAGTATGGAGAAGACACTAGGTTTAGAGACTATCATAAGCAGGGATGTGACTTTGCTGCAAGTCACTTAACATTTTTGCTTCTGTTTCCCTTGTTTATAGAATTGGGACAAAAGTAGCAGTGAGTCTGTGAGCTCTTGAGGGCAAGATATGGTGGTGAGACACAAATAAGATCATATACATGAAAACATTATCAAATCAAATGAGATGTATGCTCATTGTTACCACTATCTCTATCATAATTATTATCAGTGCAGATTTCCAATGGAGACTCCCAAGAATTGTTTCCTTTAGGACTTGGCGCCAACAGTGCTATTGTTAAAACAGTGACTCTTTGAAGTTAATATTGACCCCTCTTAACTGGAGTATGTGTGAGACTTGTCTTGTGGGATACAATCAAAAACTTCAGAAATCACAGTAGGTTATAGCTCTTATCTTCCTCTTACCTATACGTCCTGCAAAGAAGAAAATTAAATTGGTGCGATAGTTTGATCTTCTCCAGACCTTAATGTAATTCATCAGCTTCATTTCAGCATGATTATGGCCTGACTGATAACATTCGAATGCCTTGTCAAGTGGGTAAATAACTGTAATTTCCAAGGGTAGTGGTCTCTTAATTGGCTGCTTTCCAGCCCTAAGGAAAAGTCTCCTATACTTTGTGATCATTCAGAAATTAAAGCTACTGGTTCTGCATTTCTGCCTGCCAACCATGTACCTTCTCTAATATACACAGGCACTCATTCACACACACACATACACAGGTAAATTCGTTTTATTTGTTGCATTTTATAATCATTGCTGAAAGACCCTCCGTGGATCTTTTAGTCATAATGCAAGTAAATGAGTTACATGCGCATTTGTGTATTTGGTCTCTCCATGTCCCTTTTCTCTCTGTCTACTCTCACCTGTTTCTGTGTATCTCACATAATATTGCACACTGAACTAATTTCTAGCATTAAATTTAAATAGCTTGGCTGACGTTCAGTGCACATAGCCTATTGCCATGCAGTGACTGTGGACCATGGTGTTGCTACTGCGAAGCAGTGCTGATGGCATTACTGGCTACTAGAAAGACAACTAAAACCTGACCTGTAATCTTTTGCACCGTATTTTAGCCTTATGATGAATTTGATGTATTCCTTATGCTTCTGTCAGCACCTCTAGCCTCCCTTTATTATTCGTTCATTCTAACAAAATTTTATCAGCCTGCTATTGTTAGCAACTTTGCTTCAAGATAGTAGCCTTAAAGCTTGTTTTCACCTTCACGCTCATCAGTTCTTGTGATGTCCATTCCAGCCTTCTTCCATTCTCCCCTCCCACACCATTATTATACCAACTTTCCTCCAGTTTTCCCAGGAGTGAGGCTTAGCTATACTAGAAATGTTTGATGTATTAGTAATTAGCCACTGATGACTCATCTGTGTGGCCCATCTCTAGCCACCTTTTGAATTGGGATTCTCTGAGTTATGTTTACCTAAGCTCACATTAGCACTTTTTAGCCCTGCTTCTATAGAAAGCTTGAGGTGTAGGGCACACAAAGGGGCAGCCACATTATTGAAGGTGTTTGTTCCAACAGAGATAAGCACTGGAGTCAGACTACTGATGTATCCTGATCTTGACTCATTATTTCCCGGCTGTGTAACTTTGAGCTTCCCAAACCTCAGTTTTCTTTTCTCTGACGTGGGGATGGTAGCAGTACCCATCTCACAGAGTTGTTGGGAAGGATTAAGTAAGGCCATATGTTTAAAGCTCTTAGCACAGTTCTTGGCACATGGTAAACAGTGAATTGTGGGATCTGTTTCTGGACTCAGATCACTTTTGCGGCACCTGTAGACAGGAGAGAGAGGCTGCTTTGTAGAAGATATAATTTGTAAGCTGAGACTTAGAGGATAAGAAGGAGTTAGCATCCCAGTGCATAAAGAAAGGAGGATTCCCAGCAGCAGTATGCTGAAGGGCTGTAAGAGAATATGACACATTTGTGGAAATTGCTTACAGTTTTACTCTGACTGAAGGGTGGATTAAAGTTGGGAGGTAGGAGGACGTGAGACAGAAAAGACTACCAAGAACAAATCACAAAGAACCTTGCAGAGTTTGTTGAGGAGTTTAAACTTGATCCTTCATCAGTCCCCCTATCCACATAATCTGGTCCCTCTGTTAAGCAGTCACATAAATGTCTTTAAGGGCAACAACAGCAAAAAGGGGAAAGAGGGCAGTGAATTGGCCTCAAATGAACTGGCATCTCTTTAAAGCTAATATTTCTCCTTGAGAATACTACATTAATTAAACATGTACCTTGTAAGATTCATTATTGCTTTACTTGTGCTCCCTTTTGGTTGTCTCATTCATTAATCTGCTGATTAGTAACCCTGAACTCTTGCATCCCCCCACCCCCTTTTTTTTGCATTCCCTTTTTAATATACTATGCTGTTCCCCCGGGATGTAAACTCCAGGACCCGTCCCTGGCCTGCTCATGTTTGTTTTCTTTGCCCCTTGTGCCTGCCTCTGCTATAACATTTGTAGTATGTGTTAAGTAATCCTTAAGGTAACATTTTTATTATGTCATAAAAAGTGCATGGCAAATATATTATAACTCATGGACTTTGTTTAAAAATGAACGGATAATTTATTGAGTGTGTTACATGAGCCTTGCTCCCCTCCCCATTTCAGCTGAGACTTGCTGCTCATTTAGCCTAGCCTCCTATTGAGTGCTCCCACCCTGTGACATGCTGGGAAAGCAGGCCCATGGTTGGCTAGAAATGACATCATAGTTTATATACTCAATAAAAATTTAATTAAGTCATTACAGGAATTGCAGTCATCATTTAACCCTCTGATTTCTTCTGTTTAGTTTATTATTAAACATTCAGTAATACCAGTCACCAAATCCTGATGGCTTATAAAATATCTGCATGAATTTTAATAGCTTAAATAAATGGGAAAATATGAGTAACTGATATAAAAGGAACCTTTTCCTTGTGGTGGTGCTGTATGTATGTATGGGTTTTTATAAAAAGCAAAGCATTATGGAAAGGATAAGAGTTTAATAAGAAAACAGCCCAATGCTATCTGGGGGGAGTTTCTCCTGTTTTGTCCATCTGTGTATTCATGGGCAGGGTGTTCCATATAGGATGATCTAGCAGTGGAGACACAGAACCTGTACACCAGCAAACAAAAGCTGAAATGAGAGAATAAAATCTCAACAGAGGTTCACCGGAGGGAATATCCAGCCCCCTTTAGCTTCTAGGCTGGATAGAAGGGCCCGAGGGGCGAGTCCAGTAGTTCAGGAAGCTGCTCTCACTTATGCTCTCACCTGTTGCCTACAGATCATGTGTCTGCACTGATTGAGCTTCTGCCCTCTTCCAGGAAGGGCCCTTTTCATGATCTAATCCAGCCTGGGTGATGATATCTGAAAACCATTCCTAGCTGTGGCAGCTTGCCATCTCTCAGAGCTTACAAATCACCAGAGGTGGAATATAGGATAAGGAAGTAGAGGAGCCTTGCTAATAAGGAATTCCACTCTTGCTGTCCATTCTTGCGGGGCAATAGCCAGCCAGAATGCAGGTGCATCCCAAGAGGAGAAAGTATGTTCATATGTAAATAGATCTTGCTGGAGAGCAAGACCCCGAGGTTTGCAGGGTAATGTGTTGGTAATCTCTGGAAGTGCCCCATAGATGGTGAAGTAGGAAAAGCACTCGTCCAGAAATCAGATTCTAATACTGACCCTGACACT